CAGTGTCCTGTTCTTCATTAAGTCCACATGAGTTATTCTAGCTTCCAGATAGATCAGTTTACTCGTTCTTCTTGAATCACATTTTGATGTTATCATTTATTTACATATTGACCTCGAATCCGCCTGGAGTCCCTCCAGGAGCTACGGCCGGTCCCAAGCCCGGATAAAGGACGAGGGTTGGGCATGAGGTTAGCGACCCCATACCGTTGAAAACTAACTCGCTAAAAAACGCTAACCAGAAAAAGTTATTCAAACCATTTAAACTCTGTCCTGGGAGTCAGAAGGTCTTCATTTAGAAGAATTATGACGCCGCATAATGAAAGCCGAATTCCTTCGGAAGTCACGAGGCCGATGCCACTTCTGACAACCAGAGCAAACATTTATTTAGGTACATGAAATACTCGTACAATGTGGGAGATTGGGAGAGTCTTCCAAATTACTGCAGAAATGTTTAGATACAACTTAGAGGTGCTTGAGATCGGTGAAATACATTGGACGCAAGTTGGACAAAAACGACTAGCTTCAGGGGAGCTGTTGTTATACTCCGGCCACGATGAAGAAAATGCCCCACATACACTAGGAGTTGCATTAATGTTATCTAAACAAGCACAAAATGCACTTACAGGACGGGAATCTCATGGACCAAGGATCATCAAATCCTCCTTCAAAACAAAGAAAGAGGGCATTACAATGAACGTCATCCAATGCTACGCGCCTACCAACGACTACAATGAAAACGCTTAAGATCAATTCTACGATAGGCTGCAGTCAATCGTCGAGAAGTGCCCAACAAAGGTCAATAAGAACCAATCAACATCGAGGTGTACAGAAAAAGCTGTGAAACGCATATGAAGAATTTCGAACACTTCACTTCTATCTGAAGTTTGTGCTGATGATGTCGTTCAAAAGAACGATGAAAGCTCCACGATCGAATCATCCAGCTCAGAGAACAAAACTCCATCGAAGAACCTGACCATTCTGATGGGAAATGTAAATACAAAGGTTGGAATTGACAACACCGGATATGAAGACATCATGGGACGATATGAACTGACTGTGAGAAAGGAACAAAATTGGTGAGAGATTTGCAAACCTATGTGCCTTCAATAAACTAGTCATAGGCGGCACTATATTCCCACATAAACGCATTCACAAAACCACATGGACTTCACCAGATCACACCACACAGAACCAAATCGACCATATCTGCATCAACAAAAAGTTCAGGAGGACGATGGAGGACGTGAGAACCAAGAGAGGAGCTGATATAGCATCAGATCATCACTTGCTGGTCGCCAAGATGAAATTGAAACTCAAGAGGCACTGGACAACGGGGCGGACAATATCACAAAAGTTTGATACTGCTATTCTCCGGGATATTGACAAACTCAACGAATTCAAGATAGCCCTCAGCAATAAGTTTCAGGCCTTTCATGATCTCATTGGAGAAGGAACTACTATGGAGAGCAACTGGAAGGAGATAAAAGAGGCAATCACTTCAACATGTCATGAGGTTCTGGGCCAAAAGAAGCACCACCACAAGGATTGGATCACGATCGATACACTGGATAAGATTCAAGAAAGGAGGAACAAGAAGACAGCAATCAATACCAGGCGAACAAGAACAGAAAGAGCCAAGTCACAAGCTGAATATACAGAAATAAACAAGCAAGGGAAGAGGAGCATCAGAACCGACAAACGTAAATATGTGGAAGATTTGGCATTGACGGCGGAAAAGGCTGCCAGAGAAGGAAACATGAGACAACTGTATGACACAACAAAGAAACTCTCCGGAAATCAACGTAAACCAGAACAACCAGTGAAAAGCAAGGAAGGCAAAATAATCACCAACATTGAAGAACAACGAAATAGGTGAGTAAAACACTTTAAAGAACTCTTGAATCGACCAGGCCCACTGAACCCACCCAACATTGAAGTAGCACCCACGGACCTCACAATCGATGCCGGCCCACCAACAATTGAAGAGATCAGCATGGCCATCAGACAAATCAAGTGTGGCAAAGCAGCAGGACCAGACAACATTCCAGCAGAGGCACTAAAAGCAGACGTATCGGTAAGTGCAAGGATACTCCATATTCTCTTCAGCAAGATTTTAGATGAGGAACAAGTACCAGCAGACTGGAAAGAAGGACTTCTGGTCAAAATACCAAAGAAAGGCGATCTCAGCAAGTGTGATAACTATAGAGGCACCACTCTTCTCTCAATACCAGGAAAAGTCTTCAACAGGGTATTGTTAAACAGAATGAAGGACTCCGTAGACGCCCAACTCCGCGACAAACAGGCAGGATTCCGTAAGGATAGATCGTGTACAGACCAAATCGCAACATTATGGATCATTGTGAAACCATTAAGTAAATGGAATTCATCACTCTATATCAACTTCGTTGACTACGAGAAAGCATTTGACAGCGTGGACAGGACAATACTATGGAAGCTTCTTCGACACTACGGCGTGCCTCAGAAGATAGTCAATATCATACGGAATTCTTATGATGGATTAAACTGCATAATCGTGCATGGAGAACAGCTGACAGACTCGTTCGTAATAAAGACCGGTGTCAGGTAAGGTTGCTTACTCTCACCCTTTGTCTTTCTCCTGGCGATCGACTGGATCATGAAGATGTTAACATCTGAAGAGAAGCACGCGATACAGTTGACATCTAGGATGCAGTTGGATGATCTAGACTTCGCAGGTGATCTGGCTCTTCTATTGCGAACGCAACAACAAATGCAGGAGAAGACGACCAGTGTAGCTGCAGCCTCAGCAGCAATAGGTCTCAACATACACAAAGGGAAAAGCAAGATTCTTCGATACAACACAGCATGCACCAATCCAATCACAATTGACGGAGAAGATTTGGAAGATGTACAAACCTTTACATATTTGGGCAGCATCATCGATGTATACGGTGGATCTGATGCAGATGTGAAGGCACGGATTGGCAAAGCAAGAGCAGCATATTTACAACTGAAGAATATCTGGAACTCAAAACAATTGGCAACCAACACCAAGGTCAGAATTTTCATTACAAATGTCAAAACAGTCATATAGTATGGCGCGGAAACCTGGAAAACTACGAAAGCCATCATCCAGAAATTACAAGCGTTTATTAACAGTTGTCTACGCAAAATACTCCGGATCCGTTAGCCGGACACTATTAGCGACAAACTATTATGGGAGAGAACAAACCAGATCCCAGTGGAGGAAGAAACTAGAAGAAGAGCTGGAAGTGGATAGGAGACACGTTGAGGAAAGCACAGAACTGCGTCACAAGACAAGCCCTCACATGGAATCGTCAAGACCGAATGAAGAGGAAAGGAAGGCCAAAGAACACATTACGTCGGGAAATAGAGATAGACATGAGAAAAATAAACAAGAATTAGATGGAACTAGAAAAGAAGGCTCAGGACAGAGCGGATTGGAGAATGCTGGTCGGCGGCCTATTCTCCATTAAGAGTAGTAGGAGTAAGTAAGTTTTTGTATGAGCGTTTGTGTATACACTTCTTGCCCTATTCATCACATGTCTGTAACTTATTTTCGTGTGCCTATAAATACTGAGTCACGCTTGATCGAAATGAGTTGGCTCACTACCCTGTTACAGTTTGCTTCGCATTCTCAATTTTCACTTTGAATATCTGTCTGGAAAAACGAGTGCATGAAATAAATCTATTAAGCTCAAGCCATATTTTGCTCTACACGAAAGGGAGTTACCGTAGATAATTTATTGAACTAAATATCAGATTTGTGTCTATGGAATATTCGTAGTGGTATTAAGGCTTAACCACACAGTCCTCAAAGCCGAACACGAGACAATCGGGAAAACAGACACTCAGCATTTAACACAATGAAGAAAGCAGGAAGAATAAATTCAAATAATTCGAATTGATTAATCGGGTGATATGGCTCGGCCTTGCAGGCGCGGTCACTCTTGAGGGCTGTCCTATATCTTTTTATTCATGTTAAATATATTGTTCTATCTCTAGCCCAAGTTTGTTCTCCACCATATATTGGTTATTGCTATGTTGCGATGAGTTGGTGTAGAAAATGATTTGACCTCCACGTAAGATCTTATAGATTAAGCAGTTACATCATGACAATTCTGCAATTTTAGGATTGAGTCCATTATTAGAGTAGGACTAATATCGAAAAAGACCATAATTCAACATATTCATACGTTTGTTCAAATCGAACAAAAAAATTTGCAATCATTCACATTAATCATACAAATAATAAAAAAATTAACCAGCAAAATGAAAGAAAGCCACCTGCCAGTAGCATGCCATTTCAGATCATGGATCATGGACCATAAATATATAACTTCTCTTAGCGTGCGCCGAATCCGAGTTTTTAATGCAACTGTTTGAAATCTTATTTCAAACGGGATTCGTAGTACTATTTTAAAACTAAATCTTGACGATCTTAAAATGTTTTTATCAGTCATTACACTTAAATAGCTGAACTATTGGGAACATCAGCGCAGTGGATCACTATCGTTAGCACCAGTACAACAGGAATAACACCAAAAGATTATTCATTTAGAGTGGTTCAATATACAGAGGGATACATAAAAAAGACCGTTGCGTTTGTTTTGACTCTGTTCATACCAGTTTCAAAGGAAGACTTCCTATTGTCTCAAACAGAAAAACCACAGTATGCAATCACTGATCACTTCATGGGAATGATTTCGCTGATCCAAAATTGTATAATTGCCAGTGAATTAACTGCTATGTTATGTCTCCTTTTTCTAAGTGTTACCCAAAAAAATGTGTAAATGTACTTTGTTACTTGTGTTGGACATAACTGTAGCTCATGACAAAATAACCTTACGTGAGAGTGAAAATTTAAAACATAACTTTTCATCAATCTACAACATTTATATGTGTTACGTTATCAAAAACACTTAAATTTGTTTAGATGTTGCAGATAAATTTTGTGTCCAAGCTTGCAATCTAGGCGCGGGTTATGAAATCTTCAAGGGATGGGTGGCTTGACTATCGGAAAATCAGGAAGTGTACCACCAAAATTTATACGCTTGCCCAGTGGAAAATTATTTGATTGTGGTCGAAAAGTATAATTATATCTCACGTTATTTTTTGCTCACAGGTGCTCGTACATAATATCACAGATTTGCAGTATGTATGCTCTCGCTTAAATATCTCCGAAGATCAGAAGTTTTTCATTCTTACTGAAGTAAGATCTATGTTCTTGGAATAATTTTCAGTATAATGGTGAAAAATGTCTCGTTCCTATTTTTTACCCTCACCATCCTAACAGTCTTCGCAACAGGACTTCAAAGTAATTACTGTCAAGTACTGTTTCTATTAGTAGACTTTTAATCGCATATTATTTATGCGAACAGTTCCACCTTAAATGTATTCAGCTAGACAACCCACAGGATTGTGCTGATATCAAGTTGGTTAGTGATGTCGTCATTGCAAGTAAGTACGTTGTAATTGTTTGTGTCACCCATTTTCCTCAGTATCTATTTGTTTAATACTCTTACAGTATTCTATACTGCTTATAAGTTGCACGGGCCACTTTTTATGTCTCAGAAAATAGCGAAATTATTAACCATATAATCATATGTTAAATCTCGTAGACTACTAAAACGCGCATTTGTTTACGGATTTTGTTTAAGCTAGCTGAAAATCAAAAGCATTTATAACTCTAAATTTTGTCTCATAGTTTGGTGCAAAGGATTTATGCAGTACGAGTATAATTAAGTCCACAAAGTCTTGTTAGACGAATGTCAGAATAAATTTTAACACTATCTTGTGTGTAACAAATTCTGGTGATGAAATTTGTGATACGCGTTTATTAAGTTGTCGGTAAAATCGGATGCGTTAAGTGGTCTTGTCTTTAAAACTGGAATTTAACTGGAGTCCCATTTAATTTGTTCGAGGTCGTATGACGTCGTGTCATGTGAGAAATAATTTTTCTACTCAAGTACCGTATCATATTAAGCTAATTGTTTCTTTAATTTCTTTCCACACTGTAAATAACTTTGTCGATGGCAATTTATTTTTTGCTCTAGATAAGAATCAGCTAAATACCAGTGAAGAAGACTCAAAAGCCCTGTAAGTATCCATTTACCGAGTAAATATCGATATCCAATACTTATTCAATAATATTCTTTGGTTCGAAATTCAAAACCTAAGTACTAATGTTTTAACTCTTGAAATCAATAGGGACGCGAAAGTCGATCGACAATTGTCAAATATGTTCCAGTGACTTTAAGTGACCATTGCAATTTGACACCGAAGTCAAATGTTTTTGCGTGCGTTATACTTCCAACCATTACTATAGAGATTGCTCGTGGAAGTACCCGAAATTTTAGTGCTTTTGAATTATGCATCTAGTTACCTAACTTAACCAGGGGTTTGGTTAAGGGCGCCCCGCTTAAAATGGCTAGCGAAAATCGCACTGAAATACCTACTTCGTAGTTATCCGGTTTTTCGAATTGGCTGTGATATTGGTTAGACTTTAGAAGCTGGATGTTATACTACTAATGGACGTGGTCTAGTCAACAAGCTCGTAAAAATATAGTTCCTGTATTCATCCAGTATTCTGCTGAACTACGGGAAAAGCAAACACGAAAACACCTATCGATTTTAAAACTCAAGGGTAACTTCATTCACCAAGTTAATCAGATTGTTGAGATCAAGTGCTTTCACTGACCTTCAGTTAAACTAAATACACAGTTGTGTTTTATGAAAACGCTCGAAGTGGAAATTAATGTAAGTCCGGTTGTGGTTTTTGTTTCATCTTCGGTAGATATTTAAATGTACATGACTGGATGAGGTCTATCTTCGTTGCTTTTGTGTGATCTACCTTCTAAAAAGTAGTTTCCAGTCTTCTGTCGTATCAGTAAGACTAAAAACAAAGTGACTTTTAAAGATAAACTTCTGAACAATGTGTGTAGCGTGATGTTATTCTATTTTGCTAAAACGATAAGATTTTATTCTATATTATTACTTTAATCATTATTTTAGCCGTTTTTATTTGTCCGAGATTATCTTCAGTAATGGTTATTGTTTAGGTTATTTGAATATCTAATAAGACAACCTACCTTGTTGCTAAAATGATTACAACCTCTGGTTTATTTGAGTATTTGATCTCTTTACCTGAATTCTAGTTTGTATCTTAGGTTCAGTGCTACTCATTAGACATGTACGTATTTATGCACTTATTTGTGATCTGAATGTTTTATGGGACGTGATAATTCGACCCAGCAGTTAAATCCGATGGAAGTAGATGTTTAAAACTACTGACTCAGTCGATTGTCTTTCCACTATATGATTGCTCTAAACTTAATGTGTGATCCATGGACTAGTTATACTTTACGTTCTGTTCATTAGTGTGGTCTATGAATAGCTTTGTCCATAATTCAGCTTCCATTGGCAGTAGGACCCATCATAATTATGATTACATTGCTTGGTTTACTACAGAATCGTTCAATTTGATTTACTGACTATTTGTGTCTGGTCGTCCTCAATCAAAGCTCCCACTACATATCAAACATATTTAGATTTTCGTTAGTTGGTTGCATCTTTTAGTGCGGTCTATGTTTTAGAAACTTCTACTGTCTGTTTATTTCACTGGGCGGAGCTTTTTATCTCTTTAACCATAGTATATCAGTAAGTTGCGATCAAATATGCAATCGGCATAGATAGTTACCTATTTAGGTGAAATTGAAATGTGAATAAATAAGCGAATAATGAATACATCTGTAAAAGATCATCAAACAAATAAACCCTTTCCAAAAGACCTATAATTTAATAAATAATTGTGGATGGAACTAAGTGACAAGTTACAAGAGCATCATTCACCCAGTCATTATTATAAAATGCAAAGCGTATGGGGGTGCGAATTCAAGAGTCGGAAAATGTTTTGTTATTTTGTAAAATCACCTTGAGCTGTTAAGTCACTATTAGTGGAAGATTTAATGTACTGGTCATTAAAAATCGTACTTCAAATTTGAGTATAAGAATTTGTTAGAAAGGACTTGTTCAAGTGGATTATTCCAGTAGTGTTTACTTCTTTGAACGGGATGGTCTAATTGTAAAGTTTTCATTACCATTATAGACAACATTAATAGAGCTTTTTAACATTATTTTACTAATATCAAGTTCGCCAGTCGTAATAACCATGTTTGTGACTGGTTGTCTTCACACGTTTCTTGTACATTTAGATTCCTTTTGATCGTCTTGTCTAATTTGACCAATTACCATGTGATTAAAAGTCTTGGATTATAAGTTACATCTTTATTTATATATCAGTTAATTTTGTTTAGAAAAATAACGAAAGTCTTGCAATTAAATGATCCTTCCTTGAGACTTGAAGACCATCAAAATATAGTCTGTAACCTGTTGAATTACATTATAAATTGAAAGCAAATTATAATTCCAGTTTAGTTTAAACAGTCTCATTTTTTCCCTTTTTATGTAGAAATAATGATAAGATCAACTGTTTTTCCTAATGATTATCTGTTAAGATTACTGTATTTATCATTGTTATTATTGTTTTAGAGAAGAGCTTTTAAATTCTGAAGAATTGTTTACACGACTGTTAAGTGTGCTTTTGAGTATTCCTGAGCTTACTACTCAATGGGTACATGTGAAAGTAAGTGTGATAATTGTTAATACGACTATTTAAATTATATATCATTGTTATCTATTAATCCCCTAGAAGACAGCATTTGAACTACTACATATTCGAAATTCAAAATATTAATCTATAATGTTCATCCCTATTAGCAGTATTTTATATTACTATTATAAATATTATGCTTCTTTAAATCTGATCTTGAGAGAAAAATCCCAGAATATCTGACACATTTGTGGATTTTATTTTGCTTATTTTCTTGACATAAATATCTGATAAGTACTTCTGGAATAATTTTAAATATGGGTATAAACTCATCTTTACTATCCAATGCAGTCGTAGAAGCAGTGTTTTGGTAATTATAATCATTCAGTTCTGTCAAACAAATAGTTTTATCATTACTTTTGGTTTTGTTGGGTCGTTTTAGCTGAATGGTTTAATTATCGAACTAATTATCTTTCTGAACAAAATCATAAGCGCTTACTTTATTTAAAAGTGAACTGCTTCATTAATTCACAGGCGCCTGATAACCTTACCCTTTAAACGGTAGTGACATTATCATCACTCTTGATAGTTGAGTATACTAAAACTTATGCTAGATTACTGACTTATGTTAAATTTAACTTTTAATCTCAATGAAATTATACTTGTACTGTAATTGATCAACTATTTGTATTCTGATAATTAGCTAACAACATACAAATATATCATTTTCGGTAAATTCCTATCATGTTTTCTGCAATACAATCAAGATTATTTACGAAAAATATTTAGAAATATTGTTGTTAATGGAGTAATTACAATACAGATAAATGAACCGGCTGGCAAGGGTTAATATGATATTGTAGTAGTAATAATGACAACAATAAACAAAAGTCATGTTTGTATTCATTGTTATCAGTTCATAAGTTATGCCTAGTGCTACTTAATAATCTTGTTATATAGAATTTAAACAACAAAATCAATCAATAATAATCTATGCCATTAAGTCACAGAATACGAAATTTTTATTGACACAATTAATTACAATAATACTAAGAAATAAAACAGAAATAAGATTGACGCTCATCTCTTGAAGGTCAACTGAGAATGGTAAAAGTTGTAGAAATTTTATTTGACAAACCTTGAAAGTTTCATTATCAATCTATGTGACGTTTAATAATGATAGTTTTTGTGTATTTAATAATTTATAATGTTCTTCCAGTAATACCATAGAATAAATGATAAAAAGTAATATCTTATATGGAGTCAGAGAATGTTCTACTGATAAGCTTGTTGTTGTCGTTGATATTACTTCGAAAATTACATTTGTTGGGATAATATCATTAAAAAAAAATAGTTAACAAAGTAATTTAAAAATCCTGTATCTAAAGAATGTACCTGGAAAAAGTTGTTTCTTATTAGTTAAAATATTTAGCTTTTTTTTTAAAATGATACGTACATTGACTACTGTTCTTTTTTGTAACGAATATTAACAACGATCGTTTGATAGTTGTGTTTGATCTTGTAAAATCGTTCTCATCTTTATAACAAGGATTATGCATAGAATGAAACAAAGTATTATTTCTGTATTGCCTAATTATTAATTAAGTACTTACATATTACAAGTCATCATCTAGAATTATTGTAATTGCTCAGTGTTGTATTTCTTTATTTAGAAAAAAGAATAATTGTCTTTTTATAATACGAAAATATATAATCTGATTGCTGTGCATTAAAGATAGTTATAATTTACATATGTTAGATCGAAATCACTTTCGTCTACAGTGTAAAAATGGTTTTACGAAATACGATCAATTTAACATCATAAGAAGGGAACAACTCATTTCTCATACTAGTTTACTGACAGTTTCGAAAAATCTTGAAAATGCATTAAAGTTAGTTAGCTTGATATTTTTATAAATGTTTTTTCTCCTAAAATTGCATCTTGAATAAAATTCATTCACATCTATATCACACCGATGCCTTAGAAATATTGCTCAAATCTGCTGGGATCACCGGGTAAGTAATAGTGAGGTTAGACGCAGGGTATTAGGGAATGATGGTAAATCAGTTGATGAGGTTGTGAATCTTCATCGACTGAGATGGTTGAGCCACGTGTTACGTGTGCCTGAACACCGATTACCACGACGCGCAATGCTGACTAGTAATCGGGACGGTTGAAAGAAAGTTAGGGGTGGCCAAACCAAAACGTGGCATCAGTCTTTGAAGTCACGAATTTGTAGTGTGAGCCATGTTGGTAGATGTAGACTACTTGGTTGGGGTCCACGTGACTATCGTAACCAATGGTTAGAAACTTGGTGACATGGCTCAGAATCGATCACAATGGCGTCGGTGTATACACTCTCTGTCTTCCTTTAAACTAAGAGATTAAAATCGCATCATATCTTTCTTTCTACGAACTAATTCCATCTTCCTGTACTATGTCCTTATATGCAATCTTTCCTTTATATATTACCACCACTGAATTAACTACTTCTATGAATTTGGTGTTCATCTTGCTGTGCTAATGCGGTATAGCAACTTGGACCGATGCATATATGTGCCCGATCCTACATTGTAGCTGATCGACTGTCTGACTATATCACACCGAACAGAAGTAAGCATTGTAGGACATAATTAAACTTAGGTCTTGGAAGTCACGATTAACATCACTTGATGGAGAGGGAAAAGTAACAACATGCATAGCAAAACTGTTAAAGGGAACTGGAAATAAGTCACGTAAATGGGGAAAATGAAAAATGTGGAATAATGCATTGTTCAAGATTTGAAGAAATGTTAGGAATAAATAAGACTGGGGCATAGGGATCGGCTTTTAGGTATGTTACCTAGTTTATTAAACAGTAACTCGTATTTTCCTCTATCTGATCTTAATTATTCCGTACGAACTAAGGTTTAAATTTAGTAATATTATACAGAGTGGTGATACTATGTCTCAATTTGGTTATAATTCAGTATCATTAAGTGTTTTTTAATTTATAACAGTCCTAGGCAATATGGTAGGTCGAACCATTTTTATTTGCAACTTAGTTTAATGAATTTAACGAACCGCTAGATATTCGCTCATGCAGTTGTAATATTCCCAGCTGTTTAATAATTTTTCACAAATTGTAGCGTACTGAAACAGGAGACTATTGCAACTAATTGTAGGATTTCTTCATTGATTAATGAGGGTTAAGCTAACTATTTGAGAATAAAGAATTATTTTCATATGAGAATGCATTGTGAAGTTAATTTTAAACTCTTGCTATCACATAATTTATAGGATATTCACGTTTATCATATTGTTATGCATTCGATTAACTAAAAATTTACATATCTAATTAGAAATATTTCGGTTCGTTTTTGTGAAAAGTTGATGTCTCTAGTATTCTTGATTTTGATTGGATATTTCTCTGGACTCTTAGTATTGATTCAACAGACATTTTTATAGTGAACTGGTCAGGATCAATAATAAACGAAAAAAGCGACAGAATCATATCTCTTCGCTGTTTGAAAAATATGTTCTTTCGTCTCTTAAAGTGATCAATTGTCAGTTTCTTTGTTGATTAACTTTTAATTTAACCTAAATCATTTCCACTTTTCCTAAGTATCATTAATGAATCGAAACTTATGTTAATTTGATTCGGTTATTTGCATTAAACTACGAAACGTAAGAAATACAATTATTTTAAGGAGTGTTGGGTTAAATAGCTGAACTTTGAATTTTTGAGTAATAGTCGGAAGTTCACTCTCTCTCTCTCTCAACACAATTCATTTCTACAACTGGATGATTTGATTGAAATCTTAATACGAATTGATACTTGGTTACTTAATTGCTTAAAGAACATTATTGGAGTTTACAAAACCTATTAATTTGAAAATGGAACGAAAAGAACTTGGTTTGGTCTTGGTTGTTCGTAGGGACTATTCAAATTACGAGATACGTTTCGTTACAGACTGACTTCAACTGAATAACTCGGTGATAGCGCTTTGTTATAACTCCTACGGTGATGGAACTCAGCACGTTTAGTGAGTATCATTACCAAGGTTAGACTTGATAATTTCAACTAAATTCGAAATGGTATAGAATTTTTTGTAATAAAGTGATGATATATTTTTGTTATCTATGGGTAAAAATTAGAATTTCTAACATTTCATAACTTAGTGTAAGCTACTTTTTTTCAGCATAAATAAATAACTCGGTCAAGTTAATACAAGTCCAAATAGTATGGAGGGATAGGCAAGTATTTAATTCATTTAAACTCCAAATAGATCTGATTATGTCAATATCATGTTATTTTTAATCAATTTGATTCTATGTGAGACAAGTTTAGGTTACTTAAAGGTACATTCTAAAGAGATCATGATCACTACGAGAACACTTAATAAGTTCGATCTCGTTAGAAGTCACAAGTCAATACTTTCAAATAGTTTTCAATTTTCGCTTAAATAAGTATTTAATTATCTCTAGTTTTCACAGGATCTCCAACACAAGCTCAACCCAATTCTTAATCTATATAATCTAATTCATTTTTTAATTGATTTAGCGTACTACTACTGATTTGTATCAATAGATAAATCATATAAAATCTATGCAATCATCACTAATATACAAATAAAAGTGTATGAAAAAAGAAATAATATATTTTTGTAAAATATGTTTCCCTTATGATAAAAATATCTATTTTCTTTTTCTATTAATAAATGTGATACTTTAACACTGAATTGTTTCCAAGTGCTGACGACGTCTCTTTTTTTTCATTTTTCATTTTCATAAAATCGTACCTACTTACATTTTTATGTTAAGAAAAAAATGTTTAAATAACATTATCAACCAATGAATTATTCATTCATAACATAAATATTGGATCCTCAAAAGTTGGCATACTTCATGTCTGTCTGTTGAATCAGAAAGAATCTTAATAAGATACAAAATCAAATGAATGAAAAGGAAAAGACATTTTTAAAGAAAATTAAACATTGAGAATATAGTTTGAACCAATTAAAGGAAGTCAATATTAAAAATTAAAATTTAC